TTGCTGGGCGAGGAGGGCTGCAGCCTGCAGCACCCCAGGGTGCCCTCCCCAGGCTCTCTGTCCTCCTGCGGGCTGCCCCTGGGGCACGAGGGGGGCTGCAGAGCCCTCGCTCTTTGCAGAAGCAGCAGCTTGCCCTGCAGCCCAGATTTTTTTTCTTTTTTTTCACCAAAGCTTGGGCTGCCCTGGCTGGGCAGAATCACAGGGCACTGGTGCAGAGGTGTGCCAGCAGCAGGAGGTGAGTTCAGCTCCTTGTGCTGCAGGAGCTACGGGCGGTGTGGGCGCTGCGCTGGACAAGGCGAGGGGCAGCGAGCTCACCGGCCAGCAGCAGGGCTCTGCCACCTCTGGCTTGCTAAGAAAATTTTTAGAATCCTCCACATAGGATGTCACAACGAGATTATGCCTGGCGAGGGGAGCTTGTTTATACCTGCTGCTGCGGTGTGAGCAGTGTGTGGGACCAGGGTCTGCTCCGAGGGGCTGGGGGTGCCAGCACGGCGCCCCAAAATCAGACGTCCCCACCTCGGCAGGGGCAAGCAGCTCTTGAGCCACTCCTGGGGCAGCTCCTGCGATGCTCGCCACGCACAGAGAGCCCCACGAAGCTCAATTTATGTGCCTCGGAGACAGGAGAGCTGAGTCAGCAACAGATGGACTGATTGCTTTTTTTTTTTAAGTGACTTGCTGCGATGTGTCTCAGGTCTCGCACCTGGGATTTTGAAGCAATTCCCCATGGCTCTCTTTTCGCATATACTTGAAATTAAAAGCAATTGGAGCAGACATCACTTGAGCAGGAATTATGCACAAGTGGGTTAAGGGTGCATTTGGAAACCAGCACTCGCTATTTGTGCTTCTCTTCTGGTTTCAGAGGTGCAAGTGGATTTTTGCAGAGGCAGACAGGCAGCGAGCACAGCCAGAGCCCAGCAGCGCCCGCACTGCTCGCGCCTGCTGGCAGCACACGAGGAGGGCAGAAGCCGGGCTGGGGCGCGGGGCTGGCGCAGGGCACACCACCCCTATGGGGCTCAGCACCTGGGGCCAGCGTGGCCACCAGGCTGTGGGGCCAGCAGCCCTGCTCTGGCGGGTCGGTGCTGGTCTGAGCTCTTGGCTGTGGGTGGGAAACCCGGGGGCTTTGTGCTGTGCCGGTGGGGACAGCCGCGGGAGGTGCTGTGCCTGGCACCGTGCCGCCACCATCGCCACCCCGACAGCCGGGTGTGCAGCCAGGAGCCGTTGCCAGGCTCCCAGATTTCATTACTGAAATGGAAACGGCCATCATTTCCCATGGCAGAGCATTTTGTACGTGGAAATTAATTTGGGGAAAGGGGGCAAGGAAAATGTCTCTGCTCTCAGGGGCTGGGACAGTGCTGTGCGGAGGCGTGGATGTGGCTGGGTTGGTGGGCTCTGTCCCTGCAGCTGCGTTCTGGTGGTGGGGACACCTGGGAATGGTGCCCCTGGCAGCCCCATCAGGGGCACCCTGGGGATGTTGGGGAGGGTGGCAGAGACCCCACCGGCTCTTTGTTCTGGGCCCTGTTCTCTGCTGTGCCCCCCAGGAGGGCACTGCAAGCGCTGACTGCAGCAGGAGGAGCAGCGCTGCCTCTTTGCGAGGTGTTGCTGGGTTAACATCCCAGAACCAGCAGCCTGGGAGCCGAGCAGGGCAAACACAGCTCCTCTGGGAAAACTCTGAGCAACAATTCCTTAAACACGGACTCGCTGCCTGCTGTTCATGTATCCCACCTCGTCTTTACCAGTGTGGTTGCTCTGGTGTTTCTGCAGCAGGGCCGTGTGTCCCGGTGCCCCGGTGCCCTCCCAGGGGCTCTCCCTGCCCCACAGCACCCTGATGGCTCTTTCTGCCTTGCAGCCTCTCCCTTCATCATCGCCATGCTCCTGGCCAGCCTCAACAGCTGCTGCAACCCGTGGATCTACATGCTGTACACGGGGCACCTCTTCCACGACCTGATGCGGCGCTTCCTCTGCTGCTCCACGCGCTACCTGAAGTCGCGGCCGGCGTGCGACCTGAGCGTCAGCAAGAAGAGCAACTCCTCCTCCTTCGTCCTCAGCTGCAAGAGCACGAGCCAGAGGAGCTTCACGCAGCCCGCCGCGACGTGAGGCACCGCTGGCCTGGCCCTGCTTCTCCGCCGTGCTGAGCGCCTTCAGCACGCCCCTGTAAAAAGCTGTGATTGGGACCTGCGAGGGGATTTCCGTGTAAATAGGTGTACATAGGGTCTGCGCGAGGGTGAGCATGTACAGCATTTGTTATTTAACCGGGGCAGGAGCCAGTGGAAGACTTCTGTGCTCGGGATTTCGGTGGTGCGTGGCGCTGAGCAGCACGAACCCGGTTCCGAGCCCATTCGCCGTTGAGGTGGGTGGCTTTCCAAACTCACGAGGGGCAGGTTTTGTCCCGAGCAATTCCCAGAGCTGGGCTCACCCCGACTGAAGGGAGCCCCCTCCCCGCTCCCCTGCACCGGGCAGGCGGCACTGCCGGGATGGAGCGGGGAGCGTGGGGCTGCAGGGTTCTGTGGGGTGGGATAGGGTGCCATGGATAGGGTGCCATGGGGTGGGATGGGGTGCCATGGGGTGCCATGGGGACCCTCGGGCCGGGGCTGGGTGTCCCTGTGCCCACAGCTGTGCCCGGGAATGCCACCAGCAGGGCTGTGCACGTCGGGCAGTGGGAGCGAGGGAAGCAGACACGACTGTAGGATCAGGGGATGTGTGCAATAATACATTTGCTGAACGCGCTCAAAGCTTCTAAAGGGCTGGCACTGGGGATTGCATCTGGGCTCCGTGGGATTGAAAAACTCCCGCAGAGTCCCCCGAGGCCGAGCTTTTGCTTTGGGTTTACTGTAGATAGCAGTTAGTCTTTTACACCAATGCAATCTTGCTTTGTAATGCACGAGGTCATGCTTTTGGCATGGATTTTTATTGCAAAGAAATACCTGTAAATAAAATTTTCTGACTGTGTCTTGATGGAAAGAGGGAGGGGAAGTGCAGAAGCATGGCAATACTGAAAAAACGAAGGGAACTGTCGGGATGCCACACTTTAAACACAAGACCTGAGTACACTCAGCGTAAGGATGCTTTTGTTTATAGAGCACTGCACCAAGCACTTAAGATGTGTACACCACTTTGTACGTTGCATGGAGTTAGCCGTGGCCTGGCCCCTGCAGGGTGGAGCGGCTCAGGGTGGGCTCTGTCCGGGTGGCTGGGAGGGAGCACTAAGGACAGATGCTCCCACCCTTGCTTGGATTGCTTCTCCTGTGGGCACCCGCAGGGATGGCATGCAGAAGTGAGGCCTGTGTGCACTCAGAGGTAACCTGAATTGGCCTTACGTGTTGGGAATGAGTGTGAAAAATGCATTTATCTATGTATTAGCTTTATTTTTTCACTGTCACCAACAGGTACATTTTCACCTTTCATATTCTGGCATTCCTTTGATTTTTTTTCTAGTAGCTTCGAGTGACTACGACCCAGCACATTCAGTCCCAGCACATTCAGTCCCAGCACACTTCACAGACTGGTTTAAATCGTTATGAAAACAAACAGAGTTTTTCCTCCTATGTTCATCCCCTTTCCCTTTGAGAGTCACTACCTCCTGCACGGAACAAGAAGGGGACCCTGATGTGCTGGGGCTCTTTTGAGTGCATGGGGGCTCGTTCGCACTCGCTCCTCTTTTGTTCTGTGCCCCTGCACCCTGGGATGTCCCCGGAGGGTGCCTCGGCTCTGCCTGCCCTCCGCAGGGCACAGTTCGCCCCGGGGCTGCCTTCACTCTGTCAGGATAAGCTAGAGGCTTGTCACAGAAAGGGACACCAGCCATGGGGCTGACACACGCTTCAAGAGGGTCAGAGGGAGACAGAGGTGCTGACAGTGGCAGCGTGCGCTCCCTGCGCAGGGAGCCTGGAGACCACCGTGGTGGGGAGCCTGGAGGGGGCTGGGTCAGGATGTGAACTGCTAGGACAGCAACAACAAAATTAAAATGACTGTAATTCCAACATTGCTTTTTATTACTTTTATTCCTTCAAAAAGCTTTAAAAAATGCTTGTGACAAAGTGTTACTGGAAACTTTTTTTTTTTTCCCTACAAACATTTAACTGTCTTTTTTCTTGTGTGTACCTCTATCCGTCTCGAGGCCTGGTGTTGCTGAGCATCAGTGCTACGTCGCTGTGGGATAACGAAGGCCCACAGTCCCAAGCCACTGGAGGAGCACCAATAGAAAATCTGGCTCTTCCTAGCCCTTGGCATAGCACTAGCAGAGACTTCGGCTTCAAGTACTTGTTGGAAGCCAAGGAAAAAAAGCACATGAATACAACTGAGAATAATAAGTGAACAATGAGACCTCCTGGGCCCTGATTCAGCAAAGCACTTAAGGACAGAGCCAACAAAGCGCCTCGCAGTTAAAACACAGCTCTGCGGAGCACGGGCCAAACAAACGGACTGACAGCCCAGGGGAGGAAACGGCTCCGAACTGCACCTTTCCCCTGTCCCTCTCTTCAGGAGCACCTGCGTTGCCCCCAGGAGGCTGGGCCCTGGCCGGACACGGTCCTGTGCACCCCACATGCCCCCCAGGAGCGCTGGCAGCCCTGGGGCACGGTGTGTGACAAACGCCCTTCCGTGGGCTGCTGTGACCTGTGCCTTCCACGAGCATCCAGCCCCGGTGCTGCGCACGGCCGGGTCCCGTCCTTGGGGGGCTGTGGGATCCATCTGCTCCCTCTGCTCCCCGTGGCGAGCCCGCTGCCTGCTCCGTAGGCGCTGTCTGTCTGCGGGGAGCACCCACACGGCTGCCCTGTGCTTGCTGCTCCCCAGGGTGTCCTGCCCGCAGGCCCAGCACTGCCCTGTAATGCTGCAGTGAGCCCCAAACTGCCACCGGTGGCTGTGCAGCTGTCGGCAGCCCAAGCCCTTCACGTCCTCTCAGGAGGCAGACACAGCATTTCATACACTAATCAATCTGCTTTTTGAAGCTCTGCTGAAATGGGAACACACAGGGAAAAAGAGTTTTTTTGTTTTTTTTTTTTTTTTTCCACTATTCTATCCATAAGCCTTTTGTGCAGCCTGATTTAATACAGAAGCTTTCACAACAACAATTATTTGCGGCAAATAATTCATATGCGAGTGTTTTTCTCAGGGTTATGCTGGAGGATGGAGACGGAGCAGGCAGGGCTGTGAGGGGCAGCTGGCGGCATGCTGGCGGCTCTGCTGCTCCCTCCCTGCTCTGCAGCTGCAGGTGGTGGCCCAGGGCCATGGTCCAGGAGATGCGGCAGTCCAGGAGGTGCTGAGGTCTGGGGGACGCTGAGGTCCAGAAGATGCTGAGGTCTGGGGGATGTTGAGGTCTGGGGGATGCTGCGGTCCTTCCTGCAGGAGCAGGGCATGATGCCAGGTTCTGCCACCACTGCTGTCTTTAGGATGGATCGAGGGGCAGCTCAGGTGTGCCTCCTTCTTGGGGGAGAGTCCCGAGAGCCAGCTGTGCCGCAGGCTCCTGCGTGCTGTGCAGGTCCCCCAGGTGAGGTGGCAGCGTGACCGAGGCGGGCACACCACGAGCAGCGCGATGGCTGGGGCAGCTCTCAAGCTTTAGGTTTCCTTCCGCAGAGCAACTCTGATGTTGCTGCAGATCTTGGAGAGCGCCTCGAAGAGCGGGTCGCAGAAGGTGTGGATGCAGAGGGAGTAGATGCGGCTGACGCACTGGATCTCAATCAGGTAGCTCTTGATGCAGGGCACCACCGCCCAGATGTGGCAGAAGGAGATGAGGGCAAAGAGGAAGCCCCAGACCACGGCCAGGGGGATTCCCAGGATGGCAGAAAGCAGGCGGTAGCACCAGTACTTGCTGACGGTGAAGGTGGTGTAGCTGGTTTTCCAGACACCGTCAAAGCTGTACGTTCCCACTGGCTCAGCTATCACGTCTTCAAAATCCACCTGGGAGCAGAGAAGAGGCAGGGGGTGAGCACAGACTGCAGCGGGAGACCAGGGAGCTGCTGCCACGCGGGGGGAGCCCAGAGGGGGCAGCGGGGTCGCAGCCCTGGAGCAGGGACAGACCCCGGTGCACCTGGAAGCTGTGCCCAGGTCTGAGGGAGATGGGGCAGGGCCAGCGGCACTCACGCTGTGCACCACGCTCACAGGTGCTGGGGCCGGCCACGAGTGCTCCAAAGCAGTGATGTGCGTGGATGTGTTTACTCTGGAGGAAGCCAGAGCCCGTTCCTACCCTTTTTTAGCATTCAGGCATGGGCTGCCTGCTCGGCAGGAAGGTGGTTTGCGCTAATAAAACCCCAACAGTCCTCTTGATTTATGGTTTACTTATTTATATATTCGGAGGCAAGGTACTCAATTCAGCTTGTTTGCATTCTGCCTGAAGAGAGAGAGACATCAGCTTGGCCATGTCCTTACAGGGATATGGTGTTATATGCGTGCGTTGGGAGTGTCCCTGCATTACAAATATTCTTAAAAGCCTCGGAACTATGCACAGAGATCTTGTTGCGATGTAACTCATTTTTAGGGAATGCATGAGCCAAGCTATTTGTCTTGAAAAAAAAGCGTGACCTTTCATTGGTGAGGCTAATGTGTCTGTTTATACCTGTCTGTCAAACTGCACCATCCCTTCTGGTTTTGGAAGCACTTTGATCGTAAAATCATTCCATATCATCTTTAATTTCCTGGGATTGGCAAGAGATGCTGGGCAAATATTGACATGGATTAGGAATTAACAGCCAGGCTGCTGGGTGCTGGTGAGCAGCATCGACTGCCCGGCTGGGCTGGCAATGAATGACAGATCTCAGCTGCCTGACTGCCTGATTAGCTAATCAGGGGATCAATTAATGAAGGGGGCAGCAGGTTATAAGGGAGGAGTCTCTTCTTTTCTGTTTCTTTTCTTCCAGAAGGGCTCTGAGGAGAGATGGGGCAGAGAGGCTGAACTGTGAGCTGAGCCTGGGCTCTGCCCCAGCGCCTTCAGGGGGTAGCACCTGTGGGTGCTGCCTGTGTGCTCCATGGCTGTGTCCAGGGAAGGGCTTTAAGAGCTCTGCCAAGCGCCCTTGGCTGCTGCCCCTGCTGTAGCTGTGCTGGGGTCTCCAGCTGCTGCTGGTGCACCTCAGCGAGCAGATATGGCTCTGTGGCAGGGCAAACCTTGCTGCCTGCAAGTTAGGTGTTGGAATGGGCTGCCCAGGGAAGTGGCTGAGTCACCATCCCTGGAGGTCTTTAAAAGACATTGATTTAGAGCTCAGTGATATGGTTTAGGGGAGGACTGGTCAGAGGTTGGACTGGGTGATCTTGGAGGTCTCTTCCAACCTAGATGAATGATTCTGAGTCTGCTTTCCTGCCCTGGCCTGCCTCTGTACCTGTGAAGCTTTAAGGAAGGGCATTTAAAGGCCCTTAAGTCTTTAAGGGCAGGGCATTTTCCAGTTTGCTGCTGCTCGCTGCAGAGGGAGGCAGGCGAGTGGCAGTGCCCGGGGGTAAGGGCCTGGTGGTTCTGCCTCTCCCTGCCCAGCCTTATCTTTGGTGCTATTTTTAAGGTTGGAAGAATGCGAGGTAGCTGGACTGAGCGCTCTGAAAGCTTCCAAAGCTGAGGAAGTATTGTGGTCTCGTAAGCTGGTGAGCTTCAAAATCCTCTTGGGGGTTTTGGAGCTGTGGCAGAAAAAGGCAGGGGAAGGGGTGGGGGAATGGCGTGAGGGGGTTAGGGAGGGCCTGCCGTGCCCTGACACGTCCTGTTTGGGACAGCTGGTGGCATTGCAAGCAGTGAGCAGGTAGGTCTGATGGGGCATTGCTTGGCACTTGGCAACGAGCCGTGCTGGAGCCCATCCCTGTGGCATGGGCAGCGTGGCTGATGGTGGGGCAGCTGCCCCCGGCCTGGTGCCATCCCCCCGGCTCGCTGTGACAAGGCCCTGCCCTGGGCCCTCTTCTCCAGGCTCTGCTCCTGGGGTGCCCTTTCCCAAAGCCGTGGTCCCTGTGGCCCAGCTCTGCTGTGGGGCCTGCCCACGGCCCGGTGTGAGCAGAGGCAGTGCCGGGGGCGGCACAGATGTGGGCCCACACCGTGCGGGGCCGTGGGGACCGAGCTGCCAGCAGCTGTCACGGGCACGTCTCGCCCTGCCGGAAGGTGCCCATCTATGGCTGGCACTGCCCCAGCTCATCTGGGACACTTTAATTTAGCCATACCCACGGTTTTAGCTGTAATAGAAAGCATTTTAATGCACAAATGCAGGCTTGCATTTCAGCAGTGCGATCAAGGTCACGACTTGCTCAAAGCCTTTGTGAGCAGGCTCGGAGTCTTGTCACTCCCGGTGTCATTCACTTTGATCTCTCAAACAGTTTTAACAAAACCCTTCCCTCTCCACCCGACCTCCTTTGGGCCAAACTTATCTTTGGCATAATTCTAACAAATCTTATTACATGACTGACAGAGCAGTCAAGTTTCAGTGGTCAGCATTAAGGAAAGCCATTCCCTTTTCAGAGATGTGCTACTCCTTTTGATCAAAAACAGGCGAGGAGGCTCGCTGCACCCTCACGCTGCCACCCGGGAGAAACAATCTTCCAAAGAGGACAATACGTGTCTAAGTGCTCTGGTACTCAGGTTGTCAACTCTTGATCATAAGTAGCTTTTTTTCCAGGGTTCACTTTAAATCAGTGATATAGGCTGAGCCTGTTTTATTTTTGGCTTTCCACTTGCTGTCACAAATGAGGGTGTCTCCATAATTTTCAAGCTGCAGCCCATGGAGTTGCACAGCATATACAAAGGATCAGGGATATTGCATTAATTGGAGCCGTGCACCCCACAGGAGTGTCCAGCCAGCATCCAAATGGCCCTGGCAGTGCAGGGTGGGGGTCCTGCAGCAGGTAACCTCGCTGCCACCCAAGGTGCTGCCTCCTCTTGAGGCACGTGCACCAGTGACTTAAAGCCAGAGCTGAAGTCAGGCCAGATGCAGGATGAAGATACCCATACACTTGTTGCAATAAGGGAGATGCTTCTCAAAAATAGCGCTTAAAGCCATACCTTCACAACGTCTTCATTTATCCGCTTCGGGTCTCTGTTCACCAGGTCGATCTCCTTGGTGTGTTGGTCCTTGATGATGATCCTCTCGTCCAGCTCGCTCTGCTCCTCTGCCATAGCTCCTCCGCCGCCAGGCTGGCACCCGTCGGGTGAAAAGCAGCGAAATTGGGGCTCTGCAGGGGGAGGGCCCTGGGGAGGGCAGGGTGCGGAGGCGCTGCGGCAGCTGCCCTGCAGCCCCCGCGTGCCCCTGGCTGTGCTCCAGGCTAAAATTAATGTCGCGCCGCCCCGAGCAGCCCTTAAAGGGGCTTTGCTGGGGAGAGCCCCAGCAGTGTCACTGGTCGGGGGGGGGTCACACATGCTGGGGGCCCCCCAGTTGCTCCTGTGGTGACCCTCAATACTGTAAGGATGGCCCTGGGGGTGGGTGCCTTAGCCTGGCCTTGCAGGTGGGATTTTCTCCTTGCTTGGGAGAAATAATGCTCACGTGGGAGCAAAAGGCCTTGGGAGCCTGAGAGAAGCACTTGTTTATGAGGAAACGGGTGTTGTGGTAATCTGTAACTGAAGGGACTTTGGGAGACAGGAATGCTGCCTATAAATACCACCTGAAGAGGCTCAGGTCCCTGTGGGAGCCCAGGAGAAGCCTTGTGGTAACCCCTGAATTCCTTCTGGTGTGGTCCATCCATGCAGAGGGACCTGAGGAAGCCAGCGGGCTGACCCACAGACCTCTAATGGTCGGGGATCTGCATGGGCACCGGGCACTGTGCCACTCAGCGTGCTGAAGAAGTTTCTTTTATCTCATGCCATTCTGATAATCCTCATCAATCTCTTCAGTGCTCTGCTTTGATGACTGTAGGTTTGTTTTAAACTAACGGCTTTGTGAAAAAAACACCCACACGGCTTCTGCAAAATCAGTTGTTTGTAAACTCCTTAATTCCAGGGAACACCGAGCTCCTCTGCCATGAGTTTGGCTCCCTTTGCTGTGGCGGGTGGCCGTGCAGGTGGGTGCACCCATGGGGAGAAGCTGGGGGGCGACCTGCTGGCAGAGCATGGGGCATTGGGAGGGTGCTGGCAGCTCTGGGATCGAAGCAGGGCTGCAAGGACAGGGCCGGTGCCTGGGGAGGGCTGTGGGTATCTCGCTGTGCAGACCACGGCGGTGTGCTGTAGGATGTGATGGGAGAAGCTGCTGCAGCAGGACCTGGGGCTCGCACACCTCTGTGCTGGGGCTCCCTGGGCTGCTCGGTGCCCCCAAACACAGCCCTGGGCCTGGATGCTGAGGGCAGCTGCAGGTATGTAAAGGTTCATCGGAGCTTGGGCTGGATGTCAGCTGCTCCTGTGTTGAAAAACAGATTTAAATGTTTGTGAGATGCGAGTCTCGGAGCTGTTTTATTGAGTCCTGTTTCTTTACCTTCTGTTTCACGGCTCAGCAAGGTGCTGGGTGCAGGCAGCCTGATGTAACCTCGCGTGGGGGCACCTCCAGTGTCCTGAGCACAGCAGGCTCTTGGGCACTGGCTTTTAGGCCAGAACTGCTCTGTCACAGCTGAATTCCTCTCTGACGAGGTTTTGTGCCACCTCTGCTGCTGTGGCTGAGCTTTTACCAAAGCCGAACTTCAGGACAGACGGTGAGGGTATTTTCCCAAAACAAGCTGCTTTCCCCTTTCTCTGGGCTGAAGGAACACGCTGCCGGGGTGTGCGGAGGCGATGAGCTGAGCAGCAGCCATCTCCCGGCACAGCAATGCTGCCTTGGCCGGGACCCAGTGCCGAATTTAGGAGGTGCAGCTGCTGCGGGTGGAGGGGCTTTACCCTGCACACCCGGGGGCTCTGCACCGCCGAGGATGGGCTGGGGCCGGCGGTGGGGTGCAGCTCCTGCCCTGAGCCCCGTGTCCTGCCCTGTGCCCCGGGTGCCCGACGGCGTGAGTCACGGGCTGATTTTGGCTGGGGCCCGGCCGCTCCTCGGCTGCCTGCACGCAGGCACGCGGCTCTGGTGTCTCGGGCGTGGGAGGAGGAACATATGAACCCGGGCGGTGTTAGTGTACAGCTAGGAAGCTGTCTCAGGTGGCAATGGGAGAGTACTCCGTCTCACCACACAGGTTATAAATAAATCTGAGTACTTCGGGAGTGGGTCACCACGTAAAAGCTTCTGGTGCCCAAAGTCTGCAGTGGGCTAACAGTAATGTCAGTTTGTTGCTAATTAGCAGGAACCACAAACTTAATTGCTGAGTGTAGGCAGTAAAGCAATGTAAGTTTTAGCAAATATTTGATCCCTAGTGGATGGATGTAGACGAGATGTGCTGAAAGAACTTGAAGGTTTTCCTGCACCAGCCTGCCCAGGCTCCAGGCAAGCTGAGGGCACAGTGCTTGCAGGACGTCTGACTGGCTCTGGGAGGGCTTCGGGCTCCTGCCAAGGTCTGTGCTGCTGCGCCTGGGTGCTCGTGGATGCTCTGGGCACAGCTGCCCCCAGCACAGTGGCCTGGGATCAGTCTGGATGTGAGACTCCACTGTTGGAGCTTAGTTGAATAATAGGGCTTACCTATGGGGTTGGTTCTTGGTCCCTGCTTGACAAACCTTCTCCAGCACGGGTGCTGTGAAATGCTGTGTTTACCTCCGAGTCTTTGGGGTATGGTTCCCTTTGCTTTTCTATGCACCTCTGGTGCTATAGCTGGGTGTCTGCAGGCACCTGATGGAGAGCTGCAGCCCAGCCGCACTGAAATTCAAACCTTTCCTTTTGGGAATGTTTGTTAGAAAGCCTTGTGACAGGTTTCTCTCTGCAGAAACAGTGACCATTGTCCCCCAGATTAGCCCTGCACTTGGTCTGAAGGAGAGTATGTCTTTTTCTAAACAAATTATCAAAGCCTAAGCTGGTTTGTGGGCTGGTGGGACTGGTGCTGTGAATTTAGAAGCCTTCTAGAGGTCAGAAAAATAATCTGCTGCTTAGAGCCAGCAAGTAAAATGTATTTCTCTAGAGTGGAGAAGAATAAAGCAGAAATAAAGCTGGCTTGTATGAAATCAAAGCTCATATGAAAATAAATAGATGAATTTCAGTGAGCAGTGAAAGAAGAAATTGGGAGCTTTTGCTGTCAAGTCCTCGGAGAGCATGCGGTATGTTGTAGGAGAGAGGAAAGCCAGATACAAAGTGGTGCTGGTAAATTAGCCCTTTGGTTAAAGCAGGAGGGAAGATTCAGTGAATCAGTCTTCACCTTAGGGCTTTTCATCCTTCAGCTCAGCCTTGTGTGTGTAGCAGGGAAGCCAATGGATGGATCTGTTCTGAGCAAGTGGGAAGCATTGCCAGATGGGACTGAGCATAAGGGCTTGCTCCTGCTTTCAGTGCTTGGAGCAGAGTTCTCCTTTCATCTTTTTTTAATGACCAAAACAAAAACTACCTTTCATGTCTCCTTCCCACATGCATCCTTTAGCCCCTCTCTGCTGCAGCTGAAAGCTCAGGTTTAGTGATTCGTTCCTTAGTGGTGCTTCTCCCTGAAAACATGAGCCTGAGAGTGGTAGTGATGTGTGAGCCTCTCTGGTTTCTCTTGTATGTTGCCACTGTGCTGCTTTAACTCAGAAACAAGAGGCTGGGTTTCCTCCGGTGGCAGATGAACGTGAGCGCAGTCTGGGTTGCACTGGGGATGCCTTTCTCTTGCTTGGGTGCAAAAAGCCTGCACACCTGGCCCATGGATCTGCCAACACCTGCTCCTCTCTTCATCCTCCTTCCTTGGCTTGGAAGAGCACCGGAATGAAGTGTGGGAGATGACCTTGCCGTGTGAGGATTGCTGCACCTTGTTTGGTGTGCAGAAATTTATTACTGAAGCCAACAAATTGGATCAAAATGCACAGGAGGAACACAAGCTTCAGGTAAGAAACAATTTAATGCATATTTTGTGGTCAACTTGAGAGCACTTTAGGGAGTTGTGTGTCCTTCCAAGTGAGAAAACGATAGGGACAGACCTCAGTCCGCCTTGCTTTCCCTTCTGTTGCTGGGTCTCCCTTCGGGGGGCTGTGAGGCACAGCGCCCCTTCATCGTAAGCAGCACCTTGTCCCTTCTTGCCTGCATCTCCTCTCCTGTTAGCACGGAGCAGGAATCCAGCCTTGCTGGAGCTGCTGGTGTCAGAGCCCTCTGGTGAGAGACCTGGGGCTGCTCTGGAGCCCAGCTCCTGGCTGGGGGCCTGGTGGGTTGGGCTGCTGCCTGCTCCTCAGCACGCTGGTGAGATGCTTTGGGTAGGGACTTGATGGTATTATTATTTCAGAGACAGCTGAAGTTAAGTAGCTTGTAAACAAAAGTTTGAGCAGGAGCTCTGTCACGTCTAATATCAATTACAATTACATTTCACTGAGGTGGAAGTACAGAGCAACATTCATTTATCATTCAAGTCATCTTAGTTTGTTTCAATTCAAAGCAGATTGCCCTTTAGAAGAGAGAGAAAAGCCTATGAATATCAAATTCGTGCCCTCGTGGGTACACAAACACCTAGTCTTTCTGCATTCTTGTCTGTGCTGCAAATGCTCGTGCAGCAGACCAAACTTCTCGGCGGCACAGCGGTGGGGGTGGGCTGTCCTGGTGGAGGAGCAGTGTCACCCATAGTGGAGCCCAGGGTGGGGAGGAAGGCTCGGCTGTGGCACACACACAGTGTTGTTCCTTCTCTGTGAAGTGAGAAGGAGCTGCCTGACCCCGTGTGTCCTGTCCAGAGCTCAGCCTTGGTGGGGGAGCTCTGCCTCAGGAACCGGGGTGCCAGGTGGGCCAGTGCCCTGACTGCCAAAACCCTTTCACTCCTGAGCACTTGGCTTCAAATGAAGCCATCACCTATCCTATTTCTGTGCGATGGGGGGCTAGAGAAGGGAAAGCACTGTAGAAATATGATCTGCTATCAGCGATTCTTCCTTCCCTCCTGAACTTGAGATCCCACGGTGCCCCCCTTCTCCACTGCGGGCCCGGGGGCTGTCTGGGAGCAGCCCCACCAGGCTGTGTTTACAGCTTGTCCTAGTCTCAGCTCTTTTCTCTCTCACACCAGCACTCTAAATTCCTTTGGATTTTCATTTTAAAATAGCTTGGCTTGGCTTTGCCTTATCAAGCAAGTCTTGTCTTGATTTATCACTTGTGACATACCCAGTTGGGTAGTCTTATGATCGGATTTAACCAGTTTGTGTGCTGCCGATTAGAACTAGGGTCCACAATTGCCTTTGGCTATTACTTATCCTGCTGTATGAGGTTTTATTGTTTCCTTTTTTCTTTAATCAAAAAGCAGTTAGCTGTAGAAAAATGCTTGCCCTTCCAGCAAAGAGATGCATTGCTGCAATCTGTAAGCTCAGGGGTCAGGTAATGAGGGAGGACAGTGTTGGTGTGCAGAAGCTTGCAGTCACTGATGAGGCGGCTGTTCTGCATCAAGCTGCGATGAAAGCAACAGGAAACTGGGCAGTTAAAGCTGGCTGCCAAGAACATGACCCGAAACAGGGGCTCTGCAACACAGCTTTAAGGTGAGAATAAAGCGAGCGTGCCTGGGCTGAGCCATCACACTGGGGCTCACTTGGGCTCGGTCTGAGCTCCAAAGCCTGTTCCGTGGGGACACACACCCCCGTGGCAATGCATGGGCACCTGCAGCATTTGTGAACGTGCTGGGATGCAGTGTGGGCTGGGGGGCCAGCTGGGTGAGATGGGCAGCACCAACGGCGTGCAGTGCCCTGCTACTTTTTCCCTGAATTTTTAGGGCTGGGTAACTTTGCTGTCTGGATCTCCTGTATCATTTAGCTTTGTGTGCAGCACCTATTGCCAAAACGATGTGAAGCTCAACCAAAGCTGCAATTGTTAAAACAAGCAAACGCTTCCCTGACAGACTGGGGCAGCCGTTCCTGCAGGAGCTCGCTGACAGCTGGCGCGAAGCAGCGCTCAGGGGCCGCTTCCCCCAGCAAGGCCAAGTCAAATTCAGGTTCCCAGCTCTGCCAGTTCGAGTGGGAAGAGCCCTCCATGAGCAGCGGGGAGCTGGGGCTGGTACCACTCGGCTCATCAGGCTCA